ATGAGTCTGTGATTTACCTATCCACAGGTAATCCCTGCAGAGAGATGCTTTAAAAAGCGCCAAGATTTATTTCTTATTTTGTTTTTTTTTTGCTTTTTTCCGACGTTTTTTTTGCGCTATCGCTCTGTACTATTACCTTCATGACAGTCGAAGACAATGGTTTTTGTAATTTCGAAATCTTCCGAATAAAAAATTTTCGTATCCACAAATATTTACTGCCATACCTAACACTACAAGTCTGCTTTTGCTAGGCTAAAATGTTTGTTAAGAAAGATGGTACCACAACTAACTGAAAAAAAAAAGTGGCTAAACGATAATTTCTCGGAAAAAAGGGACTTGTGAAAGTTGGGAAGAAATTTTCGAATTGGCTGGAAACTTAAAAAATAAAATGAGTAACGCCGCGCAGCAGGGTAGATGGAGCGATCATGTATTTTGCACAGTTTTACCCAACGGACGATTGCTGTTAAGAAGCTTAGGCGATGCGATCATACATTCTGCGCAATTTTGTCCAGAAGATGCTTGCTCCAAAGAATGTTCAGTGCTTTACAGTTTGATATGTGCGAAAAAAGACGAGATCTTGCCTAGTTCCTGAGCTAGGAATTCTCACACCGAAACCCTTGCTTGTTCCATTACGTGAGTTGTAAGCACAGAAGGGAGATGAATTTGGTTTTTCAAGGTCACGCTTGGATATCAGGCATCCTCAGAATCTGGATTTGTTTTGTTCGGTTCTCGAATTGAATGGTAAAAACATCTTTGCATTTTCAGCTTTCATATGTGCGTGTGGGACCAAGGTATACGAGAAAGTTCGAATTTCCGGGATCATATTTGTGCAGGAAGCATCCTGCTAAAATTTCCGGAATTCCTTTTCTCTCTGCTTAGTTTCATCCCGTGTTAGAAAATTCTCCACTTTGAATCTGAGTTGGTCGTACGTGAAGCATAGTAGTACGTGGAAACAAAATTTGAAATTCAGGAATCACACTTGGACAGGGAACATTCCTCTAAAGTTTCACCCTTCTATCTTGTCCGGTACCGGGGACAGGAAATTTCTCGTATGAATTCGCATGTTTGGACGTTGGAGCTGGATCTGAAATTCTGGAGTGGCAAATATACAGGAAATATCAGTTTGAAATTTCTGCTTTCTATTCTGTTCGAGTACCCAACTAGAAAATCTCCTTATTAAGCTTTCGCGTACGTATACATGAGATCTGGACATACGTGATAGTTTCGGAATTTAGAGGACCTGGGTTGCTCACTTACAAAAAACATCGCTTTAAAATTTCAGCTTTCTATCTTGTCAGTAAGTTAAAAAATTTTCCAACAAAAACTTTCATGTGTCCATACGTAAAGCACTGGAAGTGCCGGGGGCTGAATTTAAAATCTTTGAGTCGCACATGCTCAAAAAACATCCTCCTAAAATTTCAAGTGTCTATCTTGTCTAGTTTCCGAGTTAGATAATTTCCCGCCAAAACTTTCGCATGTCCGTACATGAAACATAGGTTTTCTGGAGTGGTGGAACTAAATCTGTAGAACTGCACGTAGTCAAGGAACATCCTCTCAAAATTTTAGCTTGAATTTCCTGCCAAAACTTTCGCATGGCCGTACATGAAACATAGGTTTTTTTGGGGTGGTGAAACTAAATCTATAGAATTGCACGTAGCCAAGGAAAATGCTCTTAAAATTTCAACTTTCTAGCTTTTCTCGTCCAGTTGAAAATTCCCGCCAAAACCCTTGCACAGGGGCACGAACAAGATTTCTTAATAGGACCCTCCGCCGCTGTTGCAGCACAAAATGTAATTATTGGGACGTAGCGCTCATTATAATGAGTAAAACGCTG